CCTCACCGAACGTCTCCTTGCTACCGCGACCTCACCCACAGGAAGCCGCGACCACGTGGCAGCAGGGAAAATGGCTGCGGATCCGGTTCATAAGTAGAGGCAAGTTCGTATCCCGAGGTACCACTGTATACGAATAATCAGAACAGGTTATTTTGACTGCAGACATTCAGTTTAGAATGCAAAAGAAGAAAAAGAAAATCCAGGGGCCTTGTTGGCACTGCAGTTTAGTTTGGAAAATGTGAGGCAGCCTGTAAAGTATTCCAATCTTAAAAAATCCATTTTCATACCTGCGTCCAAGTCATTTCAAAGCAGCACATAGAGCATTCAGTAAAGAATATTTGTTAAAGGGTGCAGGGAGGACTATTCACAAGAAACATTCATGCAGGAAAAGCTTGAGTGAAGAGAAATCTTTAGCAGTCACTATACAACAGTGGCCTCCCAGTTTCTGTGGGGAGAACAAAGAGGGTGGAAAGACCCCCAAGGCAGAGCCCTCAGAGTTGGGGCAGGTAGGAGTGACTAGGTTCTTCTCCCAAGCAAGTAGCTACGTGGTTTGTTGCTTTTCAAAGACCTGATGGAAGCAGCCAGATTCAGCTGGGAAAATGAATTGATCCCATCTTTATCTCTGAAAATTTCTGGAGATGAGGTCTAGGTTTTGCAGTTTTGGGGGGGGGGTTGTCTTCTTGGCATTTAAGGGAAATCACTGAGTGTCTGTGAAAGGAGGTACAATATGATTATTCTTTTCGGATTTTGCCAAAATATGGGTCCTAAGCTTTGCAAAAGGCTGTAAAGGCCGTTGCCTTATCCAATTTTTAGCAGTCCTACAGACTTTGAAGTTCTCCCTACGTTTTCTTTCCTTTTTCTCCCCTTTGCAGCACTTAATTACAACAGCAGTTGGCGGTCCCAGACACCCTTCATTCTGAGGGGTCCATAACTCAGAGGCTTTAATTTGCAGTGGGCTAAACCTTGGCAGACAAAGAGCCAATTTCAGAATCCAGTCTGCAAGCTCTAAATCTAAATACAGTGGCAGGAGACGTTTCCTCCAAGTAGTAAAATATTGTTCCACCCATCTCTTTGGATGGGAGGTTTGACACCCTCTGCCTGAGGCTTGGCACTGCCGCCCAGTTTTTTTTAGCCAAATATTTAATTTAAATATTTAATCAGGAACTAAAAGTTTACAAAGACCACAGAACGGGCCACATTTCTGTGGCAGAAGCACTGGTTGAAAAGGCCCTACTGTTGCTCAGCAAGGAGGTGTTGATGGGGCTGTTTCTTCTGGATTTATGCATAAAGGAATTCTACAGTTCAGTCATTGAATTAAGTTTGGTGCTTTACGCCTCATTTGTTTACCTTTTTCATTTAGTGGCTGAATAACCTGCAAACTCCTTTCCTCCTCCCTGTTTGCTTGTTTGTAAGAGCAGCTCTGCCTGTTTTTCATCAGAAAAAATCAAATCCCTTTATTTTAATGTGTTAATATTCAGTAGTCAGGTTTGGAATACCGACTGTCAAAAAAACAAGGTAAATCCAAACGCTGAAGAACAAATGCTTGAGCTGGGACAAAACCTGGTGCCTTAATAGGTACAGTGATGGTCCTTTATTTCTGAAATTTGTCCTTTAGATTTATTTCTTGTTCAAAAACTTACTTTTGTCCTTTATCTTGGCCATTTCACTCTTAGTTACTTATTTATAAATAAATACATTTATAAAATGTTTACCCTGCAAATAAAATACACCATTTTAAGTGGCACCGCGTAATGCCTAGTCTTTCACATTCATGTGAAAAATTCAGAAATTGAATTGCCTTTTTGAAATAAACTTACTGTTTGATTTTAGATGTTTTTATTAGAAGATGCAAGCTTTTCTTGGTTTTGCTCTTGAATTTTCCTTTGTAAAGCAAAGCTATAAACATAAACAATTAAAATGTTTGTGCTTGTCAACTTCCTTCAGATGTGCCCCTTTTTCAGATTTGTCCTTTATTTTTACCAAGAAAATAGGATCACCATATCTATATCCCTATTTGGGCATTCAAGCTGTATACCGGGGCTTACATTTATTTATCATTATCCACTTATTATTTACGAAGACTCACACGATGTTCCAACCGATAACAACGTTGAGCGGCTTATACTTCGTAAGAATGGCGGTGGTCTTTAATATCCTGCAGTCGATTCCATCTTCCTATTTCAGAGACTGAGTCCATGTGCTCTGGAGAAACTGAGGATGATAGTGGCGTTGGGGTGATCATCAAAAGGGGGGCATTCCCACAGTAGGCAGGGTTTGATGCTTCCATCTGGGACAGTGTTTTTTTTTTTTTAAGAAAAAAACCTGCATAATACCTATTTTTAAAATTTATTTAATCAATTTATAAGGCTACCTCATGACGGGGACTCTAGGTGGTTAACATAGGATTAAAAACTCAGACACAGTTCGGCAATTATATGCAACACACACACACACACACAGAGTGGTGCTTAAAAGTTTTTGAATCCTTTTGCATTTTCAACATTTTTGCATAAATATCACCTAACATGTGATCTGTTCTCCACACAAGTCCTAAAACTAGATGAAGAGAACCCAGTTAAGCAAAGGAGTCAAAAACGTGATACATGTTCATGGATTTATTGAGGGAAATGATCCAAAGCTACATCTTTGGATGTGGCAAACATAGGTGAAAATTCAGAAGGCTTCACAACGGTCTAAGCACCACTGTAAATTTATGCATATGTATGAGGATAATGATTGTCAGCAAATGGCATTTCAGTTAACCTGGCTGCCATGCCCAGGAAAATGGCTATGTTCTTAAGGCATTATGAAAGTCCAACTGGATCTTGGGGGCGGATAGGTGTTTCAGTGATCAGGTGCTACACAGAAAAGGCCCGTTTCCTGGGTCCTGTCAGATGATCTTCCCTGATAGATGGGACCTGGAACATCCCCTTTAGAAGGACTGATGGGGCAGGTGGAAAACAGTAAGGGAAAGCCACTCCTGCAAATAGCCTGCCCTATGGAACAGCCTCCCTCTGAGATGTAGAGGGCCACCACCCTCCTAGTCCTCCAGAAGGCTGTTAAGCCAGGATGTTAGGGGAGCCCAATCTGTCTCTGGGTGTCTTATGAAAGTGTTACGTGGTGCCTCAGTTCTTACTTGTTTTTTCCTTAGACTGTATTATTTTAGCGGGTTATGGGTTTTTATATTGTCTTTATAAGTATCGTTTGCTACCCAGAGTGATGTACTTAAGATAGGCAACTATAAAAAAATTCCAAATTAATAGATACCTCTTAGGGCATGTGATGCAGTTTTCAGCCCTCACCGTCAAAGGAGGCCGCAGGACCTCACCACTCATCTCTTTGCTTTAGCTTCTCTGCACCATTTCCTGGTATATTATAATGTTATGCTTCTTCTTCAGGTGGACCTACCATGACTTCTTGAATCGGTATCGAGTGCTTATGAAAAACAAAAGTATTTCGAAAAAGAAGGATAAGACACTGATCTGTAAAATGTTATTGGAAAGCCTAATTAAGGTAAGATGTCAGAGTAATGTTATCAGTCGATCGATCAATCAGTACTTTGGTAGAAAAGCCAGCATCACTTCAGTCCCAAATCCATAATTCTACTTCTCCATTTAACTATACAGGTAGTCCTTGTTTAGCGACTGCCTCATTTAGCAACCATTTGCAGTTACAGTGGTGATGAAAAAGTAACTTTGTGACCATTCCTCACATTTATGACCTTTGCAGGTCTGTAAAGCAAAGGAAAGCTGAATTAAGATCATAAGCACAGTTGTGGTTTCACTTAGCAGCCACTTCGCTTAATGACTGAGTTGCCAGTCCCAATTGTGATTGCTAAATGAGGACTACCTGTAGTCCAAAGACCTGAAAAATCTTTGTAATTCTGTCAACATTTTGTTGTAACTTCTTTGTCCGAAGAATGGGAAAGAGTAAGGGTGACAGGATCAATGGAATTATTGATTTGTCTGGAAGGACCATTTTAGAATAGCTGAATTTTACCCCTTACTGAACAATTATTTGGCTGTCATCATGTTCCTTTTTTAATCATACTTCATTAAGTGCCAGCTTGGATACATCATATTTATCCTATGATATTTAATTTGTATTTGATTCAGTCAAGCGAAACACTCAGATTAGGTCACACATTGCACTAAGCATTGGTATGGTTAACTGAATAAACCACAGTTGTGAGATTCACACATGCTAAATTAAAATCCGATCACATTGCAGCTTAGAGGCAAAAAATCAGGGTTCTGGTAACACCTGTACTGATGACAAATTTTATTAAAAGACATAAGCTTTCGTGAACTACAGCTGACTTCAAATTTGTGAGCTAAAAAAGGTGCTACCAGACTCCTGTTTTTTGCCACCATAAACTAACACAGCTGTCCTCTTATTATGGCTTGAACTTAGTGTGAACTAAGTTTAAGATTCTCTTTAAGGCTAATGTAACTGATCCATTACCCTAAGTCTAAGTAAGGAATGACTGATAAAAACATTAAAGTGCATTGAAAATCTCAGGTAGAAGAATTCTTCCAGCTTCTGGGAGGGGAAGGACAGAGGGAGGGAAGGAAGGAAGGAAGGAAGGAGGGAAGAAAGGGAGAGAGAGGGAAGGGGAGCAATATAAGCATTTTAAAAACCTTCAATTTTCCTTTTATACTTTCCCAAAGGATCCTGACCAGTTTCAGTTTGGACGGACAAAGATCTTTTTCCGCGCTGGCCAGGTGGCATACTTGGAGAAACTGCGGGCAGATAAGTTCCGGGCTGCCACCATTATGATACAGAAGACAGTGCGTGGCTGGTTGCAGAGGGGGAAGTACAGGAAAACGAGGGAGGCGACGATGAAAATCCAGAGGTTCACCCGAGGATACCTGGCACGCAGGTAAGCATAAAGCATAAGGTGAACATTTTCCAAAGAAAATTTGCTTGCTAGAAATATGGGAGTTATAGACCCAGTATATATGGAAAGCTGTCAAGTTGGATACAGCAGCTTTGGAACAATGAAAGAAATGCATTCTTTTTTTATCCTAGGAAGGTTGAAAATTAGGTATATGAACTTTATAGATCATATAATAGAGCTTAAAGGACCATTTAGCCACTGAGTCCAATCCTCTGCTTCATACAGGAATACATATATATATTAAAACAACCCTGACCGATACCTGTCCAGCTTTCCTTGAACACATCTGGTAAAAGGGAATCCACCATCTCACTTGCCCTTGTTAAACCACTCTTCTAGGATTTTTCTTCTTCATGGTAAAATATTGTAGGCTGTAATCCAGATCACTTGACTAAATAAAGCTACCATATACTGAACTGTGAATGCTAGGGAAATCCTTCTGCTGTTTTCTCAGGCATATTCATAAGCAGGGAAATGCTCTGGGGTACAGGTTTGGCAAAGAGCCAAAGTAAAGCTGGGCATTGCACACATTGGTGCTCCTGCCAGCTTCTCCATTCTACTGCTCTGTTTAAATCCCATTGGGAAAATTCTGCTGTCAACACTCACACACACACAACGCAGAAAGGGTGAGTATATTGGACACTCAGTTTGGTAGCCACAACATAACAGTTCTGTGTTGCTTCTTAGAACTGATATGTTTAATCTTTCTAGATGAATTTGGCCACAGGACATTATATAAAGCAATGTTTCTCAACCTTGGCAGCTTGAAGATGTGTGGACTTCAACTCCCAGAATTCCCCATCACTTACTTTACTGTTAGGTTAACAGTAATTTCCATAGGATCCTAGCCTATCCCATGACCATATATCATAACTTTAGGAAGATGCAAACAAGAGGTGCTGTAGTTTGCAAGGCTCAACCTTGGTTTTTCAATTACAATCCAAAATGTAGTGATGTGGTTCCAACCCAAGTTTGCTACATTCCAAGGCATTTATTTTCAAGATTCCACCTAACCCAAAAAATAGATATTAAAAATAACCCCACCACAAAACATATAAAAAAGAATAAAAAGAAAGAACTCCAAAAAAAGCACATAAATTTTTTACGATGACTATATAATTGATGATTGACTCATCAATTGCTGGCAATGGATCATGGCTGGTCCTGGAGGAAGGATCAACTGACTGATGGAAAATCAGTACAGGAGTCCTTCTGTTAGGAACAATTGGTTGGTTGGTTTGTGTTGTCCTTCTTATTTATTGTTGCTAAACCTTATCATCCTTGCTGTTCTGCAGATTGGCTGATCATCTAAGGAAAACAAGAGCTTCCATTATTCTCCAGAAACAATATCGAATGTTAAGGGTACGCCATGCCTACCAAACCATCCGTAAAGCAGCCATCACAATCCAGTCCTTCACCCGAGGAATGTTCGTTAGAAAGAACTATCAAAAGGTTTGTTTATTTTGCGTTGCCTTCAGAACACATGAATTTCCAGTTTTACATTTCACTAGCCTTGTCTTTTCTGTTTTATGTTTCATGGAAGTCAGATACAGTCTTTAGTGTGAATCAGCTTCTTACTTACATGCGGACATACTAGCAAATCAACAAATCAAATGCTGGACATATTTGTTCATCTTCTTGTGAAGGAGATTAAGGGAGCTCATCTTTGATACTGTGCACCAGGGAATGTACATATCTATGTTGCATAATTTTGTTGTCTTAGTTCTGTTTAGCATTTCATAGACAATCACAAATATTTTAAAATATATTAAAAACAATTATACTAAAACAACTGTGGAAAATGGAGCAGATAGGTGTTAGTATAGTTATTGGCTATAAATATTTGCCATGTTATTTTTTTCCTTTAACTCAAACTGGACTCTGTTGTAAACCTGCAAAGATTTCATGACGTTAAAGATACTGTGGATGGTTTTGAGGACATCAACAATGCTATCAAACCATCAACATCCCTTTAAAAAATATTCAATTTGTCTTTACTCCTTCTTCAGTTCTGCATAAAAGTTTGCTTCTGAACTCCTGTTGCCTTCAGTGTAATTTAAGCAGCTTACTTCTCGGCTAGATTGCAAGCTTGATTTTACTGAAAGCTAGCAAAATCAGTTTACATTTGGCTGTGAATGCCAGATTTCAAAATACAGCTTATTTGCTATGTTGTATCTCTTAGTCTTTGTTGTTGTTGTTCAGTCGTTAAGTCATGTCCAACTCTTCGTGACCCCATGAACCCTATTGCGCCAGGCCTTCCTGTCCTT